TTCGACCTTCTCCCTCACTCCCACTTCGCCCTTCTCCCTCACTCCCACTTCGCCCTTCTCCCTCACTCCACCTCGCCCTTATCCCTCACTCCCAACTTCGCCCTTCTTCCCTCACTCCCAACTCGCGCCTTCTCCCTCACTCCACTTCGCCCTTCTCCCTCACTCCCACTTTCGCCCTTTTCCCTCACTCCCCACTTCGGCCTTGCTCCCTCACCCACTTCGCCCTTCTCCCTCACTCCGCCTCGCCCTTCTCCCTTCACTCCCACTTCGCCCTTCTCCCTCTCCCACCTCGCCCTTTCCTCCCTCTCTCCCTCGACCCCCTCACTCACCTCGCCCTTCTCCCTCACTCCCACTTCGACATTCTCCTCACCTTCTCCTCAACTCCCACCTCGACCTTCTCCCTCACTCCCACTTTGACATTCTCCCTCACCTTCTCCCTCACTCCCACCTCGACCTTCTCCCTCACTCCCACTTTGACATTCTCCCTCACCTCCCTCACNCGTTTCGTGAACGTTTTTTCGAATCAATGTTTTCGGTGAACGTTTTTCCGAATCAATTGGTTTTTTTCGGTGACGGGTTTTCCGAAATCAATGTTTTTTTCGGTGAAAAACGTTTTTTTTTTCCGAATTTCATGTTTTTTTCGGTGAACGTTTTTTTTTTTCCGATCAATGGTTTTCGGTGAAAACGGTTTTCGAATCATGTTTTACCCGAGTGACGGTTTTTCGTGGAATCATGTTTTCGGTGAACGTTTTGAATTCATGTTTCGGTGAACGTTTTCGAATCATTGTTTTCGGTGATACGTTTTCGGAATCATGTTTTCGTGAACGTTTTCGAATCATGTTTATCGGTTGAACGTTTCGTCGGAATCATGTTTTCGGTGAACGATGTTTTCGAATATGTTTTCGGTGAACGTTTTCGAATCATGTTTTCGGTGAACGTTTACGATGACGTTTTTCGAAGACCGTAATGGATGGTACTAATGTATTCAAAATCTCCGAAATGATTCCACACCAGATAGCCTCATTATCCTTGAAAACAAACAAAAGATCCAGCTCAGTGCTTAGTGGAACCCCGACTAAGGCTAGTAAAACCCCGACTTCAAGCTAGTTGCACCACGACATTAGGTTACTAGAACCCCGACTTCAACCTACCGAACCCCGACTTCAGCCTAGCAGAACCCCGCCTTTCGGTTTAGTAGCACCCCAACCTCAGGCTAGTTGTACCCCGATTCATCTCACCAGAACCCGCTTCATTCTATACCAGAACCCCGACTTTCAGGTTACGTAGACCCCAAACCTCAGGCTTAGTTCGTCTCACCCCGACTTCACTCCTAACCAGAACCCCGCCTTCATCCTTTACCAGAACCGACTTTCAGGGTTAGTAGCACCCTCAACCTCAGGCATAGTTGTACCCCCGACTGTTCATTTCCTACCAGAACCCCGCCTTTCATCTTACCAGACCCCGACTTCATGTTAGTTAGCACCCCAACCTCAGCTGGTTTGTACCCGACTTCATCCTACCAGACACCCCGCCTTCATGCTTACCAGCACAACCCGACTTCAGAGTTTAGTAGCACCCCAACCTCAGGCTAGTTGTACCCCGACTTCATCCTACCAGAACCCCGACTTCAGGCTAGTAGCACCCCAACCTCAGGCTAGTTGTACCCCGACTTCACCTACCCGAAAAACCCCGCTTGAAACCGGCGTCGCAAGCCAACTACCGGGTACGCTCTCGATGATCAGGGCGCAAGAAACAGGAACACCGGAGAAAGTGAGAGAGTCTACTTCCGGTGATGAAATCCGCGTTCCGGGCAAGTACAAAGTTCTTCTTGATAAAAAAAAAAAAGGGAAATAAAACAACGAAGCACGAACGGCAAGCACATCACGTACCACAACACGCACGCACACAAACACCGCACGCACGCACACAAACACGCACGCACGAAAATAAGGAAAAGAAGAAGAAAAAAGAAGAAAAGATGAGATGACCAAGAGAAGAAGAAAAAGAAAAAAGATGATTGATGAAGTAGAATTAAAACTAGATGAAGATGAGGAAGAAGAATGAAGAAAAGACAGAAAAGGAAGAAAGAGAGAAAAAAACAGGAACAACAACAATTATGAACTTAATTAGCAAAAACTTTTTTCTCTCCGCCTCTTCTCGTCACTTTCTAAAACGTTTCAGTCATTTCTCATCTCATCATCCCATTGTCATCACTATCATCACCAGCACAATCCCCATCGCTAACATTCGCCACCACCATCACCAATCCCCAACATCCACTATCATCATAACATTTACTAAATCTCTTCCGCCCATTCAGTACACCACCATCACCATCTCAAATATCACCACCATCACCATAACCACGTAAATCACCACCACTATCCCATCACCACACCATCACGCATCTAGAATATCACCACCACCACCATCACCTCTAAATCATCCACCGCTATTCGCTATCATCACACCACTACCATCACCATTCCCTCAAATATCACTACCACCACCATCATCACCACGTGATATCACCACCACCACCATCCCCATTCATCCACCATTCTCAACATATCACCACCCACCCCACCAAAACCACTAAATCACCGCTTTCCCCATCACACCCACCATAACACCATTATCAAAATATCACCACCTCCACCATCACTAAATCACAACCCACTATCCCCACCATCACCATCATCATCTCACCCTGAATCACACACCACTATCCCATCATCACCCACCCACTACGCCACCCTC